GTTCACATATTTATTAAATGAAAACCTCAACCACTATGACTACCAAAATGTACAACATAACAAATCAGATGATGTTCATTTGACATTAGACAACTGCTATCTTATGGTCTCGAGATATTTCAGTCAGTCACTCAGTTTGCCAGAGCTAACCTGAAAGTCAGCAGCTATTTATTTATGGAAGAAGATTGATTTCCCTTTAAAATGTTCATGCCCCCATGCAGCTCTCTCAGCACAGAATCAATTCAGTATCCACAGATACACTGAGCCCTGAGGGCCCATGGTAAGAGTTGTTTCCATTTCAGTCTATACCAGCTGGACACTGTTCATTTCATTTGGGTCAAACTGGAAATGTTTAGGGCAGTGGATCAGTGCCGCTCACAGATATGGCATTTCTATGGCATATGGCATTCTTTCAGAATCAAAGTCATTTATTTATTTATATATTTATGTATTTACTTATTTATTTTCTTCTACATTTTGGAGGGGAAATACTTTAGCGATGCTTGTAAACCTCATGGGAGTGGCAGGGCCTTACACTATAGGGACATTTATTTTCCAGGCTGTGGTACTCTTCTCCCTTATCAAGGTAATAGACAGTTGCTATGTTGCATGGTGTGATTAGCATGGTGGCCATGACAATTTTCTGAACATTCCCTAGGGAGTTACTTGTCCTGTAAGAATGGCCTGGGACATAACTGAAGAGTTAACACAACCCTGTGGCAAGACAGTGAAGATAGACTGCTGTCTCTACCATATGAACATCTGCTATTTCCAACTTTGAGGGTAGATAAAACATATTTGTCTACTCAATAGATGTTTATAAGAGTCTATATTGATTTGCACTAAGAAGAGACTACATCTTATACAAAATTATAACATTGAATTCTGGCTCAATTAAACTTCTGAAAAATCTATTTTCATTCTCCATGATCAATTTATGTTTTTCAATAGCACAAAAGGATAACTAACTGTGAAATTGATGGGAGTTAAGCCTTTAATGTTGTTACAAATTTTTACTATTTTGCTAGGTGTCTGGTCTTAGTTTTTTTGTTTGTTTTTTGGGTTGTTTTTTTTTTTTGGTACTGGGGATTGAACTTGGCACCTTGCACTTTCGAGGCAGGCTCCAGAACCACTGAGCTAAATCCCTCGCCCAGGTCTTAGTTTTCAAAGCATCCACTTAGCATTCCTAACAATGATAATAATACCAGAAATGTGCATGTCTCTCTCTGTTGATGGAAAAATGTGTATTTGACTCTTGTTACTTGCAGTACTTATGGTCTATAAAGTTGTCCCAATCCTGGATCAATAAACACCAAACTATTGGTCCTATAGGAAATGTGTGCATATATGTACATCTATCGTGTAGATTATAATCTTAAATCTAAGAACAAAAAAATCCTTGTAGATTGTATTTTTGTTATTTACAAGACCAAAACAAGCTTTCAAAGTGCTTTGTGACTTGTCCAAGGCTACCTACCTACAGGTCGCAAAGTGGATTCATCCACATCCTACCTGTGGTAGGGTTGGAGCTCCTTGTACTACACTATACCATTCTCTGCCATCTCCATCCTCTGGCAACTCTTTTGATAGCTGTAATATTACTATACATATATTTTTTGTTTTGTCCATGGTTTCTGGCTTATAACTCCCTTCCAAGACAGGTCATACAAACTGAAATTTCTTTTCTCCAACGTCAGTCGTAGAAATCCTAATCTTCTCTGTTTTTCTGTCTTGAAATTGGCTCCAAAGAAATTATCTGACCTACCCTTGCCTTCCAGATAGCTCCAGCAATGTGGAGTTTCCTGGAAGGTGGCATACTGCAAAGGCATAGAATCTCCACACCCTTCCCTTATACCTCACCCTTTGAATCTCTTCATCTCTGTCCCTTGTAATATCCTTTATAAAATAACAGTAAATGTAAGTATTTTCATGAGTTCTGTGAGCTGCTTAAGCAGGTTAATCAAATCCAAGGAGAGGGTTAAGGCAATCTTGATATATAGTATGTATTCAGAAGCACAAGTAAAATAACCTGCAGCTTGTGACTGGCACTAGAGGGAGGGAGACAGTCTTAAAGACTGAGCAGCCTTCAGCCTTTGGGGCCATATGCTATACCCCAGGTAGATATTGTCAGAACTGATATGGATTATAGAATAGTAGGCTGATGTTCAGTGCAGTATTAATTGCTTGTTTGTTGTGCGGGAAACTCCTCCCCTGATACATACACAGGCACACACCTATATATCTGGTATCAGAAGTGATCTGTGTTGTGAATGGATGGTAGGAAAACTGAGTTTGAGTTTGGGGTTTGTTTTCTTAGAGCTAAAATTACAAGGCAAAGCATCTCTATGTTGGCTAGGAATGTGTGCGGTAGATGACTCCAACATTTGCTGCTCTACAAGTCCATGAATGACTGTGAAAATGCCAAAGTATGGATTTTCAAGTTATAAGTAAATTCTAGCAAGTAGGACAATTTGTTGATATTATATCAACAACTGTATTTTAATTTTACATTCAGTAACTTGAGAAATAACCATGTGCTAGGTTGTGGCCTTTCAAGATCCTGTGATTATTTGACTATTGCTAACCCCACTCTTGGTAGATTTGTAGTCATAAGTATTCTGTTCCTTAAGATTAGTTAAGATCATGTATTATATGATACCACAAACAAACAAAGGTAAAGAAAATAAGAACATATATGCTAGGTCTTCTAAAAAACCACTTATTGGAGAAACTCACAGGGATGAGAACAATAGCAACTGCCTGCTCTTTGATTTCTTCATCACCACAGACGGATTTTGTAGGACTCAACATAGGACCCTCAGGAGTTAGCCCAGCCTTTGGGCTTTAGGACTTTCAGACTGTATGATTAGAAAAGTACCAGTCTGTTCTCTGACATGATCAAAGACTAGGGGCTCAGGTCTTATGATTATCAGTATAACAAAGCAGACCACTGGCCTCCAAATCCCTACCCCGGTGTTATCAAGGTCAGAAGTATAGAGCCTATAGCCTGAGTCCACTACCTTTGTACCCTGCCAGCTTTGACTTCTGTAAAGATGTGAAAATAGCCATTTCCACAGAGATTTGCAGTTGGTTAGCCTGCATGGAATCAGTTGTGGATCCTTAAAATTACCTTTTTAGCCAAAAAGTCCTGGGTATCTCTCTTTCCAAGGTTATTTAAAAAGTAATCACAGAGCCTTTAAAGAATGCTAATCAGAAGACTGAGAGAACATGATAGGTTGCTGTTGTAATTTTTGTCTTATGCTTGGACTTCCTTTCTTTAGAAAGGTTCTGGGAATTGAATGAGAAGGTGCCAGTATTATTGTGTCCAAGGCAGCTTTTTATTCACCTGACCTGTCATTTCCCAGATGTACAAATCAAGTAGGACATTAATGACCTCACCACCTGATTTCACCCTAAGAATCCTTGGTTATCTAACCACCACCGATGGTCTTGTAGGCCAGTCTACTCTGATTACCACATGGTGGCTGACATCAATTGTACTAATCACATCCATCTTCTTTTTGGTGATTGACTGTGGCCACTTGGATTCTGTAAGACCGGGCACTTCTTTTGTCCATTGAAATCAGGGAGTTTTTGCAACTGCAGCTTCTTCCTCCAGCAGCTCTAGCCACATTCAACCATGACATGATGGCACTGCTCTCAGCAGTAAGGTTACCAAAAAGTGATGAATGTGATCTTTGCAGCTTTCTCTGGTCAAAGTGTGGTGGGACTAAAGACAGCCACACATGTTACTTACTCCAATATGATTTATCTCCCAATATCTTTGAGTCTCTTCCCTGATATCATTCCAAAAAATTTCTGCCATCTCAGTTTGAATTAAAGAGCCACATGAGAATCTTTTAGCAACTCAACCATACAATTATCATTATTTCTTGCTGTTAAAGTAAAGTTGACTTCAGAGTTCTGGCACTTGTGTAGATAAATTCAGTTCAATCTAAAACTATGTTTTTCCTTCTTTGCTCTAGCAAACCCAGGTAAATTCCCCAGATTTTTGCTGATGTGGATTAGAGAATTGTGCCCGTTCTTTTTTTGTGTAAGTCATATCCTTTAAGTCTTGAGTTTGTAATTTCTCTTCTCCCACCCTAGTCATAGAGCGTGACAAGATCTAATTTAGTTTTAGATATGAATAGAATAAAATGTGATGGAGTTAACTGCTTCCCATTGAAAAGAAATACCTTCCAACCCTCTGAATCTTTAATAAGGTGCAAGAGCCTCTTAGTGGAAAGGGCTTCCTTCAGCTAACAAAAGTTCTTTAGGATTAGTAGTACCTAGGTTACTTTTACTTCTAGATAACTCCATTTCAATTCTAGCTGAAAGTTGCATTATTACCAACCATTGCCCCAACATGTCTGTAAGATCTTTGCTAAATTCCTAAAGTCAACTGATATGGAAATCTATGACCTGCAGAAATATATGGTATATTTGCTTTTCAGCTATTTCAGTTATGCAACCAAAAAGATGAGAGAATCTCTTAGAAGTCATAGGAAGTTCCTGGGATTCATTGCTTTTTTCCCTTAATCTACTTAACATCCATAGAATATGTATCCATACAATGACTTTTAAACTGTTCCTTGACAATGGCAATTCAGTCTCTCAAAATTTACCTTTAATGAATACCTTAAAAGATTTGATTTAGCTGCTTACCACTGCAGGCCCTGGACAGAATAGCAACAGTCCCATATCTTGATATTATCTGGTTGCTACTTTATTTCAACTTTAGATGACCAAATAACCTATACCATATGACTTCCAGTTTCCTGAGTTTTTTTTTTTTTTTACTGCAACTATTTCTAATATCAGCTTACAGTCCATTATAGCATGTATCTTGAAGAAACAGGGGCTTCTATAATCCTGGATCATATAATTTCACACAAAAGGCAATCTGTAGGTAGTACAGGCTTCAAAATCATTTAATCCTACAAAGCAGGTGTGCCAGCCAAATTACAGATTATTTCTGTTTCTCCTTTCTGCTTTAACAGGTCCTGGGTTTATCCTAAGGCTGTTTCACACCAAAGCTCTACAGGAAGGACACCAAGTAGCAAAAAAATGCATGTCAAATGGGAGAAACAAAGTAGTTTTCCTTGGCTCTGTGTTATGAGGTAAGAAGGGCTTCAACAGGAGCCTCTAACAGAATTTCCTTGTGTCTCTTTGCCATGTGAATGTGTTAAATGCTTTAGTTTGCATTTACAACTATGGATTCTGCTTTAAAATTATCTGTTGTATTTGAACCCACACTGCAGTAGGAATTTCTGCTTTTTCCTCTGGATTCTTTATTTTGTTACTACCATGCCTGTAGGTTATGCCAAGCTGCATAAAGAGAGGCACTTGGCTTTATAATTTTTTTCACTGTGGTATTCATAGTGTCCCTTGGTATTTAGCAAATATAAGTGAATGTATGACGAAAACTACTACTTGAGAAACCTTCCTTGTAACATCTAAAAATGCCTAAGGATTGAGCACCCTAATGGATACCTGTTAATCTCTTGATTTTAAAATATAAAATATTCATTATATTATCAAAGATACTTTAGTATCTTTGATACTAATTAGATCAGACACTAATTAAATTATTAGATACTAATTAGATTAAATCAGTAAGTAAACCTACTTTTATTTGAGATATGCTTACTCGGCCTAGTCCATACAAATGAAGTCATTGTGGCTTTTATGTTTTCAGCAACTGAGAAGTTGATTACATACACAAGGTCTCTTAAAATGCGAGCTATAAAAGTCCCCAAATTCCCTGATTCTTGCCTTGTCCAGCCACACTTCCTCCTCAAAAGGCCCTGTATACACGCACACTTGTGGTAGTCTAGGAAATTTAGTACTTTCTCATTAGCTCTATTTTGTGCCAAAGTAGAACTCCAGTGAGTTTGGTTGAATCTTGAGGAAGTATTTTATTTCTCTCACACAAGCTGGATCTAAATACTCCAGAATCAAGGAAGCTATAATGCCTGCTCTTCTTCTAAAGCTCAAAGCCGAATTTCAGAACTCACCTAAGAATGAAACACAAAGCCTCTCATGCCCACATCAGACATGAAGAGAGATTGTGTCCTTCAAAGGTAAGTCACTGCCCTTAAGAAAAGTGGCTTCAATTAGTGCCCTGGAATGTAAACAATTCAAAATCTTGGAAAAAGATGAAAATAGAGAAAAGAACAAGATTTGCCAAAACCAGCAGAGCTCAGGTGACAAGAGCCAAACCTTCCACACTAAGGATTCCAGCTCAAAGACTTAAAATGATTAACAATTTTTTATAGTGTCTCTTTTCCATATCTTTGTGCACTCAGGACAAGAATGAACAGCTGATGGACAATTTAGGATTTCAACCACATACATCTATGTTCTTTCTATTTGGTGTTAGACCTAATAGGAGACATAACCCTTCTCCATTAAAATGCATATATTTTCATATATTTGGAAATAGAGTGACATAGCCTAAGATAAAATTTAAATGACATGTAGTTTATATTCCTCCTTCTGAAAGAATACCCCTCAAAAAACTTTAGAACCCAATTTTTTAGAGCTCATCAGAAGAATAGAGTGCCTTAATGTCAAGGTTTTGTCAAAAAACATGCTGAGATTAAAGTTTAAAGGAAATTTGTTGATTTGGGAGATGATCTCAGGAAGAAATAGTAAGGCATGGACAAGTGGGACAGCAGAGGGGAAAGGTGCTAATATGCTATGTGTTATGAGAAGGTTGCAGCCTGGGCCTTCAGAAAGACTGGATAGAAATGCACAAAAGTACATAGAAGTGAAGATGCTGGATTATTTATTCACAACTCCTACCCACCATTCCCTGAAATCAGCTTCCAGGACATCCACCTCTCAGACCTAGGCATTCTAGTAAAAGCTCTTGGGCAAAGATTCTCAGAAGGCTCTGGAAGTAAAACTTCAGCCTGCTTCAGGAAGCTAAGTGCCCCCAGATATGAGAGGCAGCACCAGTAGCTCCTGTTGCAATTCATGAATTAACTTTTGGTAAAGATATCTTGGATTAACACTCTTTAGCAGGAGAATATCTTTCTAAAATCTAACTGCAATCCTTTTTGATATCTTTTATACATTTTTGATATCTTTATGACTATAAAATTATATTTACAATCTTCATTAATAGAAATAGTAACATTTCCTATATATAGTTGTGGCAGAACTGATATTGTAAAGTCTACCATCAATATTTATTGAAATATACATAATAATGACCATGCTTATCTTAAACCTTTTGTATAGTTTTTGGTAACATGCTACATTTCTATACCCTTTACTGAAAAGACAGTATTAGAAAATATTTATTCAAAGTTTATTATATCCTGGGCATGATTTTAAGTGTTTAGATTATTTAAATCACTGAAGCCTCATAGTAACCCTGTTTTCAGGTTAGGCACGATTATTATGCTTAGTTTGCAAATGAAGAAAACAGTTCACTTGCCCCTAATCATAGTAGCCAAACAGGCAGAATAGTCTCAGAACCCACAGTCTTAACCTCTTAAGCCAACAGAAGTATATTGCTACATATTCCAGTACCAGTGTCATTCATTCATTCATTCATTCATTCTGAGCCCTGGTTCTGTCATTTAGCCTTTCACTAAAGGTGGGCTACATCCTTTGGTATAATTGTAAAAAGTCAGCCCTGTACTGATTATATTTGTGCAGCATGGTGAGCAGCAATTACTTCCTGCTTGGTCATTTTGATTTACAGTCTGCTTATATTTTTCAGTGTTGTTAATATCCAGTCATTTTTAAGCTAACTTTGTTTTTTAAAAACATGTGACATTAGGTTTTTCTGTTCTATGATAATAAAGAAAATGCAAAAGTATTAAAGAGTTTTCTCTCACTGTATGAAGTGGTCATAGAATGCATACAGTTGATATCTCTGCCCACTTCATTTAGATGATAAAAGAGGTAGAAGATTTATCAAATTACTATATAGTCCTTATCGATAAATCTCCAGGATCATAAATGGTTTAGGAGATTTATGAGAAATAGTGTATTACAAATTAAAAAAAGGAAGATAGTTGGTATAAAAAGTAATAATGTGACATAAAAATTTTTGAACTATTGTTCATAAAAAAGATATAATCAACAACATACATTGAATTTCTCATCAGGAATCAGGCCCATTATATTTTAAAAATTTTATTAACTTTGCCTGATCTTATTATTTGCACTATGTTAAAAACAAAGGTAAAATGTTTGAGAAATCAAGTTTAATTCAAAACATATTTGTCCCTGCCCAGCAATCTGTTTTTACATTTCAATAATAAAGTGTGTAAACATTTTGAGACATGCTAAATATTTTCAGATTTCAAAATAGTTTTTTGTACAGATGCTACTGAAACATTTTACAATAAAAATATTGTCAATATCATTTTGATTCCAAATGTGTATGATTTATTTTCACTTTTAAAACAAATATTGAAACTATCAATTCGTTTTTATTTGTCTTTTTAAAACAAAACAAAAATATTTTTAAAAGTTTCTGTGGTTATAGAAAAGAACATATGTATAATATTTTATCTTGTGTCTATTTTCTAAGCATTACTTGAATCAAAGTTCTGTTCATTACAGAGAAGATAATGTGCCAAAAGAAATTACTTGGGAGAAAATATCTAGTAAAAATCAAGTAAAAAGTTCTTAAAATATGACAAAAGCTGAATTTTCCTAGTGAATAGTCTAATTTCCAGTCAATATCATTTAGAAATTTTTGAGGAAAATTTTTAGTACCTTATTCCACTTCCATTTAACCTGTAGCATAAGTAGTTAGGTTTATACATAAAGGTGATTGATATTGGTAGTTACAACCTACAAACAAATCATTTACACAACGTGTTTGTTTTTGACACAACTGTCTTCAGCATAATTCAATTTTTCTAAGTTTCCAGAAGTTCTTCAGCTGTTCATTAGTTATAATCAATAATTATCATTTGTGATATCATAATTTTTACTCTATTTTTAATAAATATTTACACTATTTTACATTTTAATTTTGACACTCAATGGGACAATTTCAAGTATTTAAAATGTCAAAAACCTTTAAAAATATTAGTATTAACAACTATTCCTGTAAGACAGGCAAAATCTGGAAGGAAATTTGGGGCCATCAGGAATAACTCTCCAAATCCCAAGATCAGCAAGCCCAGTAATATTTTATCAGTACATCTGGACATGAGCAGAAACCTCCATCTACTAGTGTTTGACAACCGTGGATGGATGTACAGGCCGTCAAACAAAGGGAAGCTTTGCTGGGGTCATCAGTGACAAAGGGATGAAATCTGATAACATGACAGATTTTGTAATTCTGACAAACAAGGAACTTACGAAGTCAGTAGAAGGAAGGCAAATGGGAACAGAGATCACTCCGGCCTCCACTTTGATCATTCTGTAAATATTTTGGTCTGTGTTTCATGTGTTAGATTCTCTCTATACCCAGAAGGCAGGAAGACATTTTACAATATTAAATCTTGCTCATGGCAAATATCAAAATCATGGTAATTGATTTAGAATCTATAGAGAAAAGGCTAACTTTTCTTTTTGGTAATTTTTCTCAAAATTAAATTGACTCATCTATCTATGTACATTGCATAACATTTACTGATATATTATTATTAAGATGTGTTTCCAATTAACTAACTTTTATTTTAGTTTTAGACTTTCTTGGGGTGGAACACAGCTTTTTAAAATCCTTTTCCTTTTGGGATTTATTGTTTTGTAAGATACTGCACAGTTCCAAAGCCAAAATAAAGCACAAAAATATTCAAAGGACTCTCTAGCTTGAGTAATGCTTTCCCCTCTCTGTAGTCTTCCTCCCTGTGTGTTTTTATCAGCTTTTGTATTGCCCTGCCATTGTTTCTTTCTAAGAATATAAGCAAACACACACACATATGTGTATATGCAGACATACATAATTTGATTCTATTGTAAACAATGTTCTGAAGACTGCTTTTTTTAACCTAGTGCATCCTGCAAGTACACATGATAATACACGAAGATATTCTCTATTCCATTTTACAACTGCATGGTACACTGTGTGGATCCACCCATAATTCATTGAACAAGTCTCATACGGGGTACATTTGAGTTGTTTCTCTTATTCTGCTATTATAAATTATACTGCAAGGAATACTCTGTGCATATATCATTTTTTGTTAATTTTCTGCCATTCTACCCAATTTATTTTAAAGGGTAAATCACAGTTCTCTCATAATCTATGCAATTTGAAATGCATCTATTAGAGTGATCTTAACAAACCTAGTGGAAATATTCCACGGCTCAAACTACCTATTCACATCAAGACTCAGAGGGCCTATCTTGGATGAGAAAAGTACAAAAAGTAAACCAAGTACAGAAAAGTAACCAAGACTCTGCATGATAGTCCTTACTGGATAATAAACCTAGTGAAAAAATGTGTCATCAATATCAGGCAGACTGCTCTGGAGAGCTAATAAGCATTAAATAATAATTATGATAACACACATGCTGAAAAGCTGCTCACCTCTTAACAACCAATGGGAAAGTTTCTTAGAAGTAATGACAGCTAGATGGGAGGAATGTGTTTAGGGAAGGTACTCGGAATTTTTAAAACAGATTTTAAGAAGTTTCTGTCTTCATCCTCACATTTCATTTTTATTCACTACCATTTAAAATAGTATTTCAAGTTAAATAACATGAACACAGACAGCTCCGTGTTTATGCCCTATAAGAATCAAACCTTTGATTTCATTTCAGGCTTCATATGTAGTAAGGAAACAGAGAATGAATGATATTAAACTGTGGCATCTAATAATTTAGTTTTAAAAATAATCTCTAGGAAACACTATAAGTTTTTCTCATACTCCATCTCTCTGCTCCTTTTATTTTTAATATTATTTTGCTTGTCATTCAACGAAACACACTCTTGTTAAAATGGAAACATAATATGCAAGCTGGGAAGCTAAAAAACATGATAAATAAATTGAACTTATAAATAAGCCAATCTGCCCATACTTCCTTGAATCAGTACAGTGGGAAAGGTATGAATACGGGCTCTGGAACTTTAGTGGCCACAGTCTCAAGGTAGAGACTCCAGTTACAATTTGAGTGGCCTTCAGCAAGCTGATCAACATCTTGGCACCTCAGTTTTCCCACCTGTTGATGAAAATACTACAATAATGGCTTCCTAATGATCGACATGGCAATTACACAATTAAAACCCATGTTCCTGACATGTAGAAATTCTCAATAAAAATTCTACCTATTGTGATGTCTAAATTATTTTTATGCTTACGTCTACATGAATGAAAATTTGATAGGTTCAACTATAAACTTTATAATACCCCAACTCTCAGCATAACATAGTCTAAGCAGACTTTCATATTGAGGTAGGTACATAAATATCTATAGACAAAGCCAGAAATTTCTTCAGGAAGTAGAACAAAGTCATAGTACACTAAAAATAAGTTTTATGGAGTATCTTGAATTTTCTAATACACACAATAATCAAAATTATTTTGAGCTACAAAATTACTAAAAATGGTTTTAAGTAACAGGATTCAAACATGGTTACAATATATTCCTAGAAAAATATCAAAATTAAATATCTTCTAGTAACATTTGTTCTATTTTTGTACTCACTTCCTTCCATAAAACCTAATTTAAACTTTACTATGACATCTGTTGGTATCAGTGTATTTATGATTATTTTAATTATAGCAATGTCCTGGTGATACTCTTTTATTTGTCATTTTCTTTTCTGAATTGAAAGACCCAGGAGGATAGGATATTTTGTTCATCACTGTCTTCTTTGTCTCTATTATCAAGGCCAGTTGTTGAATAAATGCCTTCATATCAATGAGTTACATTTTGGAGAGTGTTTGAGAAAGAAGGCATTTGGATATATAAAATAAATAACAGTGAGATATTTTTCTTGATAATAGATACTAAAATAAATTTTATTTGTAACTTGTGTGAATTTGTGATGGTACAGTTTTATCGTCAGAATCATAGACAACCTAACTGCCTGTTCTCTGTGGAAGGAACATTCATGTAGAAAA